ATTCACTTCTTACTAGATGCAGTGACAGGTAATTTATGACGTATAGGGATTTGTACACTTATGACGGTCTAAATTTACTAATTGACAACCATTACGTTCCCCCTGATCTTGAACCTGAAGTTGTTGCAAATTACTTTCGATTTTTAGAAAACAATTTGAACACACAAAATTTTAGAGTTGTTCTCATGGGTGATTTTAACACCCCTCGTTTTGACTGGAAGCGCGGTCTCCTTCTGGCTAACTGCCATTATTATTCGAAACTCAAGGAAGATGCCATCTACAGCTCCACGTGTCTTCTCGACCTCAGACGACATATGGAAACTGTTGGCAGCAGTGGTCTCCTAGACTTAGTAATTACGAACTTCAGTGAGTTGAGTATTAACTTTATTGATACTGGTATTGTAAAGCCTTATGTTTACCACCTATGATGTCCTCTTGTCCCTTGAAACAAGTAAAAGTAATTCTGAACTTTCCTACTGGAAATTTTCATCTGGAGATTACACCTTGTTGTATAACATTCTCTCAATTTATGACTGGTCCTCTATGTACATTATTACCGCTGTCGATGATTCTGTCGCTAGCCTGATCTCGGTTGCTATAAATGCTATAGATAAGGCTATTTCTCGTCGGCTTACGAGAAAATCAAAATTCCCTCCCTGGTTTTCCAGTGCCTTACGGTACTACATCTGGAAAAAAGATTTCTATTACAGACTTTTTAAAAGGAATAACTCTGGTTATTTTTATAGTAAATTTCCCTTCTATCGCAAGCTAGTGAAAGCTGCAATCAAGTCTGCAGACGTATTTGGTTGAAGTCGATTGACGACAATTTAAAGTCGCAACCCAAGCAATTTTGGAAATATATGGCGTCTTATAGAAAAATAAAAATAAATTCCACTTTTATTCAGCTTGAGGTTAGCGGTACTCATTTAGCTGAACCCCATTCTGTTGCCGATGCATTTGCTAAGAATTTTAGACAGTCTACTGTACCTCCTGTTTAGGTGTACCCTCTTCCACTGTAGGGTCCGCAATGGCCGCTCGGTCTGAGGCGTGGGTCTAGTGCCGCTTGGTCGCTGGGACCGTAGGTTCGAATCCCACTCAAGCCATGGATGTTTATTCGTATTCACGTTTTTCTGTGTTGTGCTGTCCTGTGTACAGGTAGAGGCCTTGCGACGGGCCGATCCCTCGTCCAAGGAGTCCTACCGAATGTCTATAGATCAAGCCAACGAAAAGTTGGGACCCGCAGAGTTCAAGACCTTGAAGAACGGGTCGTTCCCAGTATCCCAGTCTTCCGCTGTGGAGTCCACTGAATTCTTGTCATTAGCCCCTATCACCGAATTGGACATTTGTAAAACAATTCGTCGTCTGAGACCATCTAAATCTCTTGATGACATCCCTAGCTTTGTTATAAAGGGTTCCTGTATTCAAACACATCTTTAATCTAAGTCCAACACATAATTTTTTCCCTACTATATGGAAACAAGCCGAAATTTTCTTATGAGCTTTTGACCAGTGTATGGGACTGGTGCCAACCCAGCATCATGAGGAAATTGGGTAGCTACAATGGGTATCGTAATCCGGTCAGGAAAACTAGTAATGGCTGGGGGTTCGTCGTGCTGACCACACGTCACCCTATATTTGGTTGGATGATCGTTTACCTCTGCTTAGGTATGTGAACGTGAGGCCAGCATTCAAGCTAGTCGGCTTTGCCTCTCTGGAGCTGTTACGCCACGGATTTAATTTAATATTTTTCAATGGAAACAGGCAGTAGTAGTTCCTGTTCTTAAAAAAGTTAACTCTCCCAATGTTAGTCACTGCCGACCCATTTCTATACTTAATAATTTTTGCAAATTATTTGATTTTTTGATGTAAATACGTCTATATTTTAGGGTCATTGTCATTCGGCGAAAAGTGGAACGAAAAAGTGTAACAATGGTTTATCACCAAATAAACAACAACGTTTACCTAAGGAATATCAATTTACTCGGCATTTTTGTTACTTATAAAACATTACATTACATTACATTACCTTACCTTACCTTACATTACATTACCTTACCTTACATTACCTTACCTTACATTACATTATATTACCTTACCTTACATTACATTACCTTACCTTACATTACATTACATTACCTTACCTTACCTTACATAAATAATACCTTACATTACATTTCATTACATTACATTACATTCAGCTACCACAGACCCATCTTAAGCGTAACTAATTCAAGTTAAATAAGCAAAGTCTTAATCAAACTTTACTCAATTGTAAAGCGGGTATAAAGGAAATATTTAGAATAAAGCCAATATATAAACTTCTTTTCCGTATAGACGTATTTACGTCAAATTCTCCGGAACCGTGGTTCCACTGACAACTTTTTTTATTTATGATCATGACTCACATTACGTAAATTCTAAATTTAATGATTGTCTGCATGGTTTTACAAAATCTACATCTACAGTAAGTAATCTCGTAACCTATCTACATTTTTTTAACTCAATAGTTGGCTCCCAGGGACAAGCTGATGCTGTTTATTTTGATCTTAGCAGTGCATTTGATCTTGTCCCTCTTAATCTATTACTCAAAAAGCTCAGTGCTTTTGTGCTCTCTGATAATTATGTAAACTGGTTTTATAGTTACTTAACCATCAGATAATCCCAGGTTCATGTTTCTGGAACAATTTCATCTCCTTTTGTGGTCCTCTCTGTTGTTCCACATGTATCTGTTTTGGGTCCTCTACTTTTCAACTTCCTTATTGATGACATATGCCAAGTAATTAATCATTCTAAACGCAATATTTTCGCTGATGATATCAAAAATTTTCGTGCCATTAAATCTCCCAATGACTGCAATCAAACTTCAAATTGGCATTGTCTCTGTACAATGTTGGTGCACTGCTAACTTCATGAAACTCAATATTAGTAAAACTACAGTAATTTCCTTCTCCAGGAAAATCATTACTTTGATCATAAACTTTTTCAGTCCTCTATAACACTATTAAAGACATGGGAAAATTTATCGACTCTAAGCTCCGATTTTATAACCATGTTGACCACATATTTTCACAGTGTTTTAAGTTGTTGTGTCTTGTTCGCACAGTAACGTTTTCGTTCTCTTCTCTCGATTGCCTGTATATGTTATATGTAACCTTAGTTTCATCCACGCTCGAGTACCCCTCGGTCGCTTGGAATTCTACTACGACTACTGATGCCAACAAACTGGAGCGTATCCAGCAGAAGTTTGCAGCCCTTTTCTACTATCGTTTCCTCCCCCAAGGGCATTACAGCTACGCTGATGCTTTAGAGTATTAATACTCCAGACCCTGCGTAAGAGAAGGCATTGTAGTGATGCACTCACTATTCCTTGCGCAGGTTTACCGCGGTCTTAAACGCTGTCCTCCCTTCTGGAAGCTGTCGGTCTTCGCATCCCTGCTCGGAATCTGAGAGATTTTTCTACGTTCAGTTTTAGTCCTTCTATTAAAAACAGTCCTGCTAGATGCGCATCCTAATGTTGTCTGCAAGGACTTGGACAAATTCGAGACGAAAATTGTTACACTTCAACACATTTTACGATAGTCTAATTTCCTTCATTTATTTAAATTATTATCGCAAATATACTAATGTATTTAGTAGTAATTTTTTTGGGTATTAGCGTCCTCTGTATTAAGGTATTCCTATATTCTGTTTGTTGTTACCTTTCTATATTTATTACTGTGTTCGTGTGTTCGTCTCTGTGCTGCATCTGTAATTGGCCTTCTGGCTGTTGATACAGCACACTAATAATAAAGAATTGAATTGAAGTTTAATAATAATTATTTCAGGGCACACGAAGTTTTCATGATCTGGCTTAAGATCCCCATTTATTTCTTGGACGACCAGTCTCTCTTCTTCTGAATGGTGAAGAGTGGAAGGCTTTTTCTGGATTTCTCGTATCATATATTTCTTGTGGAGGTTATAATTACTAGAGTTGATTTGATTTTATATTGGATACATTTCTAGCTGTGTTTATAAACGTTTTATCTAACACCCCAAAATAAATTTTGGTCGCATATTTTCGCTTCTTTGAGAATATTTTATAAAACTATACACATACTACACTTATTCGTATGTCTATCAAACATTATATTTTGTGAAATTTCAGATTCACACTCCGGCGGGTGAAAATGGCGGTCTCTTGGTTTGACGCACCGTGTTTTCAGATAAACTTTTAACCACGTTTTGAGAGTTTCTTACTACCTCCATTTAATTTTCTGGGCCTATATCGCTAAGATTTTTGTATAAATTACAAAGACTTCAGAGACCAATACGACAGAACTACACATAGATCTATTGTAGTTTAGTTCAATAAATTCAGAAATTTCTAGACTGTTTCTAGTTTCGGGTATTGTAACAGTGTGGTAATTTTTTTCATTTACGCTTTCTTCTGCTACGAATTTTCTGTAAACCCGTTGGAAGAGTAGTATACACCCTACCACTCTCTGATTTAAAATTCATGAGTCATTGTATCGTTTTAGTTAAAACTTTAATGCGTATGCTTGGTACCAACCGGCATGGTGGACTACGGTTCTCATTGATCAATAGCAAATCTCTTGCATTGCTAACATAAGATACACACGCTGAATATAAATATTCCATAATAGTAAGTGATACTTGTATAATTAGGTACTTTATGGGGTTTAGCCTTCTTTTAAAAAAATAGTTATTCATTTATGCTGCTTTTACAGGAACGTATCTATCGTAGGACTGGAGAAATGACTATTGACGCAATCAAATGTGTTGTCCATTTTCTTGCTATGATCTTGTAATCTAGTCGTTTTTCGCTCAATTTACAACACATTACAACACATCTAGACAACAGTTAGATGCATTCCATTCACAAACTAAGCTCGTTTTTAAATTAATATTGTGAAAAGAAAAACTAATGGTTTTGTCTGAAACACATATAACTTTTGAGCTGTTTCAGCTATAATTATTGTGTCTGTCTTTTGTGTTTGCAGGTGATAAAGATGCTCGTCATAGTTGTGGCTCTATTCGCCATCTGCTGGCTACCTCTTCAGACCTACAACGTTCTAGCATACATCTACCCAGAAATCAATCAGTACGTATGGTATTTGTTGAACAGTATAATGTGGGAAAAAATGCATTGCACTATCTCAAGGTAGCGTTATTAGGCTAGAGATCACCAATTTATACGAGGCGCGTCCACAAAGTAAGTTTCCCACTCGTCCCACAGCTAGCAAACCTTATATTGCGCGAAGCGACTGTGCGTACGTGATAGAGCAATGACGTAGCATGGCGCATGCACTAACGGCACTTCCCGCGTTCTCACAGTAGCATCGTTGCAGCTGTTGAAGATGGAGGTTCTTATTCCAGCTCCCGCCGACTGTGAAGTGCGGTCAGTGATAACGCTAGGCCGCACACGGCTCGACGGACAGCAAATCTCCTGCAGGAGTTCAGCTGGGAGGTGTTTAATCATTCACCCTACAGCCCGGACCTCGCTCCCAGTGATTTCCATCTTTTCCTACACCTTAAGAAATTCCTTTCCGGTCAACGTCAGCGTTTTGAGAATAACAGAGAGGCGGAGATGGTTGTCACACAGTGGTTCCAATCCCAGGCGGCAGACTTCTACGACACAGGTATTCAAAAGTTGGTCCCACGGTATGACAAATGTCTCAATTCCGGTGGTGAATATGTTGAAAAATAGCTGGACACTTGCTGTATCTGTTGCAATAAATATTTCCATGAAATTGTGTTTTGTTTCTGTAAACGGCCCCAGGGAAACTTACTTTGTGGACGAGCCTCGTAATTTATAGCGAGTGTCTTATGAATCTTGAAAATGGAATGCGAAATGAAACAGATTGTGTTTATGTTATCACATCTGCTGTATCATCTAGATCAAGAGGAAATATGACGAGTGTGTGACAATTATAAATCAAACAATTAAAAATTTAAAACTCCTTATAAATACAAGACTTAAAGCTTTCACAGCGACAGTGTTCGATAAAATATTCTGGGACAACAAACCACGTCAATTGTGGACAAAAGACCAGCGTGTCGGACACGGGCAACTGGCACGACTTGTTGCACCAGAAGATTTTATCGACACCTTGTGAATATTTAAAGTTCTCCCGAGAACACCAAAACTCTCCAAAGGGCATTGGGTTGCCTGGGGACATACGGTTGGTGATTCTTCTTCACACATTCCGAGAGTTAGAATGTTGTGTAATATCTTCAGACCTTAGACCACTTGGAGCGTATACCACTCCAGTTCAGTTCATCTGTGGTTCATTTAATGACCCTGCCATTAATTCAGAATGTATAGCGTCACTGATACAATGATTATTGATTAATAAATTGAAATGGACATGAAAGCAAAGGTAGCGACTTTACGTAGGTTGTTATCCCGTCATTTGTGTATAGGGATTATGGAGAAAAAAGACTCATAATTTCCGATCTCCAGAATAAGATTTCAAACGGAGACCTCCCAAATATGAAGCAGGGGTGTTGCACTCTAGGTCACAACAGTATTTTCGTTCTAAAAAAATATATTGAACGTCGCAGTCGAGTTTACATACCAGCACTGCTTCATGGGAGATATTGGGTTCAAATCTCTGCTATCGGTTGTTCTGATTTCGGTATTTTCTTCCGTGGTGAAATAGCATTCAGAATCTGTACATTAGAAATAACTGAAGAATTAATTACAGTGGAACCACGATATACGCGGGTTTCGAGAGACAGCCTCAGTACCCGCGTTGTGTGTGAAATATGTAGAACGTGTGTAATCGTATTGGGGGGACATATGACAGCCGCGGTTTATCGAGGTTACACTGTATAAATGCACTGAAAATTATATTACGCAGGAGATAAACAAACATTGAATACTCTTTCACCACCTATGTGGCTGTTCTGTGGTTACAAAGAAGCTGTGTTTCTGAATATATTGCTTCTTATTAATTAGTGTAATTTTCAGAAATATATATTTTACTTTTAATCACAATAATTTGTTTTCATAATTATTGTGATTAAAAGTAAAATATATATTTCTGAAAATTACACTAATTAATAAGAAGCAATATAAATAACTGAAATTCGTTAAAAATGCACTTTAATGTATTATTTTAAGATTACGTATGAATGTCATGTACATCAAATGAGAAATGATTGGTTGATTAGGAAGGAATCATGAATCGGGAAATTTTAGAATACGCTTTTACATCGTAAAATACTGATCTGCTATTAGCCTGGAGAATTTGAATTACGCACCTGAGTCGCTGAGCTACGTTAGCCGAAGTTCTGAAGTCATTTGAACCTTATTCGCTGATAATATACACGGAACGTTTCGAACGGTACGCTATAGATTTGTAAATATTGGAGGCACCATGCTGTTACCAGTTAATAATCCGTAATTAAGTAACTTCACGGCAGAAGCTGATTGTCAGTAATTCACAAATTCCCTGATTTTAAGAATCTCCTAAGAGTTCATTATCTCGTTTAGATAACATTGCTCTAATAATAGGCAAAGGTTAATAAATCTGTGCTCGACATGAATACAAACATTTAAGTTAATCTGGTAATCACCTTATTCGATACAAGAAAAGTCTTCTGCCGTCAAAGTTAATTCATCCGTGTTTTTAAGCTGCCTTACAAAACTTGCCTCTGCTGGAGTTTTCTACTGTATGCACGACGCATTGGTAGTATGAAATTAATTAACCAAACAGACCCTTTTTATGTCGCATTATTTTTAAATTTCCCCCAGCCCAGTAGATCCAGTATACTTTGCTTCAAAACTGTTTGGATAAGCTGGGCCTCGTAGTATAAATTGATATTAAGAACACAGAACTACCTTTCCTCCGCGAAAAATATCTTCTATCACATAGTCAGACAAAACATTTATTACTTTTTGTAGAATACATCGATTCACCACTATTTTTACAACTGCCCTGCAATATACCTCGCCCTGAGCTATATGAAATCGTTTCACTTTGTCACGCCCTATTTAATACGGTTGTAAATATTTCCTCCAATTTACACTTAGGTCTCCGTTTATGTTTTCCTATAAAAACCTTATATATAAATTTATCGTCTACCGTATTTGTGCTAATGTGTCCCTCTTCATTCTCATTAATGCGATTTTCGTAATAATATTAGACGAAAAGTAAAATTTACGAATTCATGATTGTTTAATTTCTTCCTGCCTTCGTTTACTTCCTGTAAGATTATTACAAAAATGTACTTACATATCATGACTGCCACATGCAGTTAAACGCAACTATATGTAGTGAGTTTGATTGAAAATAATCAGTTTCCCCAAGTAACACACAGAAGTGGCATTTACTTAAACATTATAACCTACTCTCAGAGTTAGTTTCGGTGAATAATTTTTATTCTCTTTGTTGGCAATAATGTGGAAATTATACAAGTGTTTGTTTCCTGTACCACCGTCACTTAACTCAAATACTCCCTTAGAAAGAGCTAGTCTCTGTCTAGCTCTTTCTAAGGGACCCAACAGAGTAGGTACCTTTTACCTGAAGACGGAGACAGAACCAGCATCAGGAACGTCGTGATTTTGGAAACAGACGATGGAAAAAGTCCTGGCAACGAATAATTTTAAGTGTAAACTACCGTCGTCAAAACCCTTTAGAATTTAAATTTTTGTTTAGATCCACCACTTTACATACCAATATAAATAAATGATATCATCACATTAGATCAAAATAAATGAATGCGTTGACTGAGTTTGTACTGAGTTTAAATCGTATTTGAAGATGGCTATCTTCTGGGTAGTTCCGCCATATAGTATGGTAGATGATGGGGGCAGCAAGGACCTCTGAAACTTCGGTAAACTTCTACCAGACTACATGGCACAACAACCCAGAAAACAGCCACCTTCCGACTCACCGCCGTGAAAACCTTAAATCCGAAATCGTATTTGTTTTATTTCTTAATTAAGTGCCCTATTACAATACAACATTGAAGAGCTCTTCTGAGACAGTAATTAAATTTACACTCTCAGACTCTATTTCAGTAACATCAATTTTAATATCACCAATCCATCCATCAACGCATAGTCCCAGAATTAGTACCGTGACTTCAGGATTGTCCGTTGATATTTTATGTCAAAATACGTATAATTTATACATAGGTTTACGCAGTGTTTGTTAAACTCTGCAAAGAAAAAACCTGGACAAAAAATGTGCAGTAACGTTTAATTCCTCTGTTTATGCTAAACCTTCAAAACACAGTGGTAACTATATATTCTGCCTGCTTTATTATTTAATAATTCCACAAATTATACGTATAAGTTTAGTGTAATTCTAAGAATAAATATAGATTATATTTCTAAACTGCATTAACAAATTTATCTCTGTATTGGAAACAAATTATGTTTTGTTTGGCTTAGGAACAATATTTAAATATATTCGATACAAATTTAGTGCTTCAAAGTCATCAGTAAATACTGGTATGGAATCTTGGCATTTTACAAATGCCATTTTACGAAGTTACGTATTTAATGTAGAATGCCTGTGATTAAAATACACTGCTACAATTTTGTGTGTTTGCAGGTATAGATACATAAACATCATCTGGTTTTGCTGTGACTGGCTCGCTATGAGTAACAGCTGTTACAATCCATTTATCTATGGCATTTACAATGTAAGTACAGTAGATGTTTATATCACCTGTATTTTTAATAAAGTTGTCATTTTATTTACTGATATTCTCTTAACATACTACCTCCACAGTGCAGGGCCCTTTTTCAGTTAATTCATTTATGACATTGCATTTCTTATAATTACCTTTATTCTACGTGTGAGTGTCTCAAGAGGCATCTTCCCTTCAGCCTCTTGGACCAAAAATTTTGTAATCAGTGTTCTATCTCTCTATCATTGCTACTCGCATTTCCCTTCTCATCTTCCTTGATTTTGTATTTTGAAATGTTCAAGGGTTAACAAACGCCTGTTACTTACACATAAGAGTAGTATTTTCATAAAAGCAGTTTTAAAACCTTCCCCATTGTTGAGAAACGAGAACTGCATTAGAATATATAACCAAAAACATTTGTTTAAATAAAATACACTATTACATTTTTTATTCGCAGGAGAAATTCAAGCGTGAGTTTCAACAGCGATTTCCTTTCCCGATTCGAGGGTGCTTTACACGTGCTAATACAACTGATAATGACATGGATAAATCGCAGACATTGCAGACCCGTGCATCAGTTAGAAGTTTCGACAGGAATCGCTCCTGTTCTGCAAGAGCCCAACTGCAGTGCTCCCTTCTTCCCCCAAATAACAGTTTCTACCGCGGAGTCGCTATCCGCGGATCGACCAGAAAGCCGGACACAAGTAATAATGGTGGTGTTGCTATTGAATTGTATGTATCACCTGACAAACAGCAGAAAAGTGGGCATAGTTCAGACATGGAAGAACTCTGAGTGTAAATCAGAGGAAAGGTATTCAAATGATCTCAATAATTTACCAAAGACTGATTAAGAGTTAACAGATATTCTTAGGCTTGCAGACACTGCGCAATTTAGTGACAAGTGGAGATACGGACAATATAATATTTGTAAGCGATGTTAAATTTTATCAACAATCGATTCTGGCAAAACAAATTCAATCTGTACGAAAAATTCCAAATACTATCTTCAAAATAAATGTATAGGTTGCTTCTTTGATGTTTGTAAAAAGTTTATCATTGATTTACTGGATATATGAAATCCTGACTTCGAAGCTTTGATGAGACGTACTGTGTTTGTCACCTCAGTTACGCACTGTTTCTTACAGCACATCTGAACTTCGTATCTACCTGATTAAATTAATTATCAGCCTATATAATCAATGTCTTGTTTTATGAAATAAACGTTTTGTGCAGATTCACAAAGAGACAGTCTGGCGGTTTGATTTCCAGTAATATAGAACAGTAAGTTACAAAAACTACAAATATTAAGGTAACATTAGTTGTCTGTAAACTTATTATTAATTTGTGTACACACTTGTATTTTCCAACCGAAATCACACGTATTGAAACAGGTTTTATGACGGTGGGAGTTTGAAGAAAACCGGAATCTCAGACCTTCTTATTACTGATTTTAATTTCTGAAGATAAGTGTTCTGTACCGATATTTCTTAATACTGATTAATACAGACTATTCTTTTCAGGTTGTTTAGTACTATCTTTCTTCAGCGATACCACATTTTAGAGTAAAAAATAGTGGTTTTTCATATGCACATCTATGACGTTTGACCGATTCTCAGTATGAAAAGAAAATGTCATCATTATTTGTTTTTGTTTCGTGCGTGATGTACTATACATCAGCTGCCAACATATTATTGTCCACTTCAGGAACCTGATTATATTTCGGATGTAAAAATGGCTACCACTTTATCTTTATTTCTTGTTATCACAAATTAATTATATAAAGATCCCATAACAGATTACTGTCATTCTTATGCGAATAGTGATTTAAAGCTGTAAAATAAAGCAAGGAAACGAATTACAGTTTACAAACAACAACGTAAGTTAGTTTTAAGTGTATTACTTAGCTGTGATTTCCATTTGCATTTTTCACACATCCAGCCTGTAATATATTTGTTCTCCTCCGCGTTGTCTTGAGCAACTATCTACATGTTCCTATGTTTTTCCTTTTTGTATTGCAGAAACGCCACTTTTGAATAGTGCGAAAGCACCATTTCGGATCTGATAAAAAGTTGCTTAGGGCTCTGCTTTAATTAAGAAGGATAAACCACATAAAATAACCAGATATTGTCTATTACATTCATAATAACAAAGATTATCAACAATTATTTATATATATGCATTATGCAACGTGCAAGATCATAAGGTACATGCAAAACACAACACGTAAGACATTTGTCATGTGGAAATGTGTGGCTTTCTTGTCGTGCAGTTTGCAGACACGCCGTGTCCCTTGACGAGCTATTACCCCGGCTTTACCAGACTGAGGAAAACCACAGGAAGACCCAGTCGGGTTACTTGCTCATTGTCAGCAGACTCCTGTAATGTGCTCAACGACCTACACACAATTTCTTAAATAAATTCAAATATTTACGTGAACACATAGTCTTCATCACCTTATCCTTCTTGGGGTTCCAGGATCACAGCGAACCGAGAACGGTTGCGTCTGCTTTAACTTCCCATATCACACACTCAGGGCCCTTGCTATATTATTTATCTTTTTTATCTGTCTAGCTTCCTTTATGGAATCCATCCTATTCTCAAATAGTATTGCATATCAATGATAATTGCTTTATCATCCACAGCTATGATCAGGTCTGGTCTCAAATTTCCCTGTACTGCCTCATTTTCGTTTACGATGGTATATTTGTTTCTGCTGCTTTTCTAACCCTGTTTACCACTGCATTATGTCTTCTAGTTATTAAATCAGAGTATCTCATGCAGTGGTTGATTACATGTGGCAGGGTTTCTCTCTCTTAACCACATATTCTGCAACTTTTGTCACTGTTGGGTTGTTTTGACTCCTGTTCAGCGGCAGTAAATTTAGCCGTTCTCGCTGAACGAACCGCCAATCTGCAAATCTGGTTTAGACGGCCGTTTGGAAGAAGTGAGAGCTACCTCGGTCGGCCACAACACATTTCATTACCTTTCCCTCGCTTGCTCTAAGTGAGCTAAGCACTTTTAGCCTGTGTTTGTCATGCAGGGTTTAAAAATCAAATGTCAATAAGAGTTTAATATTTTCGAATGCCCACTCCACTTCATTTCTCGTGGAGGCCTTTCTTGCATTCGTCCAAATAGTCGAAAGGGCGTTGGTGTTACGCCTGAATTCACCATCATTCTCCCCGGATAGGTAGGCGGCTAGGTCCTGCTGATATACCTCACGTCCAATCCTTTTCTGCACGGTAGTCTGCAGGTCGTCTAATGCTAGCTGCTTGATCGGCGTATCTTTGGTTGTCAAGAGCTTGAAGGCACTATCTGTCAGATAGTGATCAGATTTCTCTGTTGCCCCCGGTATCACCACACAATCGGTTTTGCCTGGACCATATATGTAGTCATTGGACGCCTCTTGTAGTATATTCAACGTCAATTCAAAGGTTGGACGACTATTTAAGAAATAGTCGTCCAACCTTATCCAGTTGCCTTTTTTGTATCCTTGCTGTTATCATCGGAAAAATGAGCGACGGGAAGAAGAATGCCTTAAGAGCGTCCAATCTTTGCCAGGGGGAGCTTTGATTATAATATTTTGTTTGCGGCTTTCATCAGCCGCGCTGGCTTTCTTGTATCCCTCGTAATCTGAAATCCGCCCGGTATTGCCAGGAACTCATCGAATTCACCGTCGCATAGGCTTCTAATGTATTCGTCGTTCTCCTGTGTCGATAAATGTAGTGAGAATGGCTTTGCAGGGTTGAATTTTATATTTACTTCTCCTGCCAGTCTCTCTACTTTATTTAATCTTGTCTTTATTTCTTTGGGTGTCTCAGCACAAGCTGGGACTTTTGAATAGTACGAAATCACCAGTACGGCATCTAATAAAAAATTGTTTTGTTCGGCTGCTTCTATTAAGGAATGAACCATATACAATAATATTACAGGTATAAACTATTATATAACCTATTTGGTTACACTTTTCTTGTTTTCAGCTAGAAAATCGCTACATATTTCACACAATGAAGAATACTAAAATAACGAAAATGCTTATTTATTTTGGTTGTCGTACGTTTTACTCTCACTATCTCACTCACTCACGCTATGACGCAAGATATTCTTTGAAAAATGGATTGTATACTCGGCTTGTCAAAGAATAGCCCAATTTCCTAACGGAACTCAAAGGTTCATCAACGTGTTCACAAAAGCCCACCACCGGACTCTATCCTGAACTAGACGCATCCTGTACTCTCCATCTATTAAAAAAAAGGACCATCATAACGTTATTCTCCCACCTACGCCTACTTCTTCTCAGCGGTCTCCTCCTTTCAGGTATCCCAACCAATACCTCCCTCACACCTCTACCGCCCCCACGCGTGCTGCATGTCCAGTCCACCTCATTCTCCTTAATTTAGTCACCCTAACAATATCAGATGAAGAATGCAGACTGTGAAGCTCATCATTATAAAATTTTCTCCATGATCTGTCTTCCTCACTTTTAGGTCCAAATATCGTCTTCAACACTATGTTCTCAAAGCTGGGAAACCCTGGCACAGCGTAGAAAGATAGCACGTATATGTGCTCTCTTCAAAGCGTACACGGGAGAACGGGCATGGAAGGCTATAGGTGACAGATTGCAAAGGCCATATTATCTGAGCAGGGTCGATCATATTCGGAAAATTAGGAGCAGAAAGCAAAGAACAGATATCGGAAAATATTCCTTTGTAAATAGGACCATCCAACTCTGGAACCAGCTACCTGCGGATGTTTTAAGGACTCTCTTGTGTACACCAAGTACTTTTAGGAAGAAGGTTAGAAAAGTGATAAATGAGGTGAGGATGGGAAGGCTCCATAAGTGTAGTGAAGTGAAGAGAAGGTCCTGATGAAACGTGTGATTCATTACTGTTACTGTCTTATGTCTAGTTGGTATTAATTTTTAAGTTATGTACTTTAGGTTATATGGTTTTGTAATATTATGAGTTGTTTTATTTTTCCTTCATTCTGTGATTCTCCCTGAAAGTCAGAGACCAAGCTTCGCACCCACACAGCAAAACTGGTAAAATTACACTTCTGTGTATAGTGGATTCTGGTTAATTGGGACACATCAGGACTAGTAGACTTTGGCCTAGTTAAGCGGCTACTTCAATTATCCGAAGTTCCACGTAGAGTTAAAAAGGTTTGTTCTTTAATATTTGTCCCAAATAAAGGGCTGCCCCGATTAACTGATGGTTCAATTAGCCGGAATCTACTGTATTTTATCCCTTAGTTTTTTAATATGAGTCAGAAGGACAAAGGATTTTTGGTTGAATGCTGGTAAGAATTCCCTGAATCTATTCTGCTCTTGATTTCGTCAAGAATGTCATTCAGATATGTGAGTGTCATTCCCGGGTATTTGAATTTTGTCACGTTTTCGAACGGTTCATTAGTTTTTCTGCCCTGAATTTTGATATGTGAAAACATACGAGGTGCGATCGGAAAGTTTCAAGACTGCGCCTATAAAAACCCGTACACTTATCTCAGGTAGTTAATTCATCCATCACCCTCGAAGTAGTTCCCCTGGGAGTGAACACAACGATCCCAGC